AATATATATTAATATATTATATATTAATATATCATTAAATACATATAATATAAATGTACAAATACGCATATATACAGATATATATATGTATATATAAAACGTATCTATAAAACATATATTTATAACAATATATATGTATATAAACATTTAATGATAATAAATAAAACTTTACGCTTATTAATTTTAATTTAATTCTAGACTCTTTAATTCTACTTTCGGCAAGAAAGTTGTTGAACACATAATTTCGAAAAATTACGGTTTTGCATTTTACAATACTTTTTGTTGATGTGATTGATTTGATTGTTTCCTTTCACCTGTTAAAGTGATCTTTTATCAAAGTCCTATGTTGCAGAAAATCATAAACCGCCCAGTAATAAAAGGTTATACGAGATAAGAACGCGTCATCAAAATGAAATTCAACATGCGCAAGACGAATTTATGAACAACTCCGACTGTACCGGGGTAAGGCGTTCATTAATGATCAGCTCCATACTCGTGAATATTGCATTCGTGATTTTTTACCAAATTCGCGTTTCATTAAAAAAAGCCGCTTTATGAGGAATCTTAATTAAACCCTTCGAGATACTTCTTTCCGTATCGGCTTCATTGATGCGACGCCAGCGGCAGGATGTTGCGATCGCGGATCACATTTGTGAGTTCGCCGCATGAGGCGGAGAAAGAGACGTGCGTAGGCCACACGAGACAATATACACACATATATACGTATATACACGGTGTCGCGCAATTGATGACTATAATTCAAATAGCAGATGCCTTGTCTTTCAGACAATAATCAACCTTTCCTTAATGGAAATGTTAAACAAAATGTATATTTATATAATTCGAACAAGTAAACTAAAAGAATTTGACATTAATAATTGAATTTCTGCGCAAATTTCTGATCAAATGATTGTTGGAAACATTTTTCGCTTAATTTTGTCATGAGATGTGCAGTCCATTAGCAGTTTGTACTAACAATCAAAGAGAAAGTTTAATTAAGTTATTAAAAGACACCCTATATGTATATGCACTAGTCGGACACATAACAAGCACAGCATCCACCGGTTAGTCCCTCCGGAGTGCGTACAGCCACCCATTCATGCATACGGCCATTCATATGTCGGTCCGGCTTACCTTGAAAGCTTTTTATCATCGATGTACCCACACGCACACGCATTTACACACGTGCCTGCATTCACGTGTTCATGAAAAAATTTCTTCGTTCTTCGCGGAGACGATTGTCATAAGCACAATTGGCAAATTAAAAATTCACTGATTAATTTGCGCCTATTTTTTTAAAAAGGTCCTTCTTGTTTTTAACATATGGAATTTGCACCTATATTTGATATTTTACACGAAATTTTTCTCAAATTATATTTGATTTCTTAATCATTTATACGCTTTAAAATAGAAAAATATATATTCAGCAAAAAGAAATCATGCAAAATTAAAATTTCCATCGCAATTATTAATTGCAAAACAAAAGGAGAAAAGGAGAAACAGAACGGCTCATTGCTTCGTCGTCATCGTTGGTCGTTCGTGTTGGGAGAATCAGACACAATGTCTGCAAGTTTCCTAATACGGGCACGGACGCAATACATGCTGAAAAAAAAAAGAATTTTGGCAAGCGCACGGAGAAGCCTGCATGGGAAGGATGTGTTAGACTCGATGCCACGCAAACATTTAATAATCGCATACAATGAAATTAATTTGCAATTGAATTTAGGAAGGAATAATTACATCGTGCAAATGTGCTTAAAAAACATATTTCACAATCAGTACAATTTGAATCCACGAGGTTCGTATCGAATTTCCGTTTTATTTTTTGCTCTCCTGCGCGCCTACGCGTTCTATCTCCTCTTACACGTGACTGCAAGTTTCCTAATATAGAGAGCCGCGGCATATGCTTCGATGAAAAAAGACGATGTTGTTAACCACTGAGCGTCCAGCAAACTGGTTGCCATCTCGTATCCGGAAAAGACAGGCGAACTACGGGTGTAATGTTAAAATCGCGAGGACACTGACAACCTTCAAAGAAGACGCTAATACCTCGAGGAAAGAAAATTTATTCAAATATGTTGGTATTATAATCTCTGTCAAAAATTGATTACTTTACTTCAGTATTCAGGAAAAAGAATATGATAATCTCAGAAAAATAAACTTTACATCTAAGAAATGATTCTTTTTTAAAGATATTGTGTCGTACTGTCATATAATCTCTGTTAACGCCACAATGTCTATAGACATTGTTTGGAATAAATAGATTTCATTTACTTTTTCTCACCGTGCTTTAAATCTAAACATATCGCACTTTTTACAATAACATTGCAAACTTGATCCCTACCAAGCTCTGCTCTTTATTGAATTCTTTGTTAATGTAAGAGATACTTTTTTGCAAGCAAGAAAAAATGATTAATAACTAAAAAGATTAAGAATGACAGAAGGATTGTTTCTTATCAATTTGCAATCTTTTTTGTGTAAAGGATTAAAAATTGTGACTGTTGTAAAGCGCGAGGTGAGTAAACAGGATCGAGTAGAGTTCCTGTCGTTTCTAGAGGAGCAAGTTAAAGCGAAGGAAGACAGGTTCGCGGTGGTCTGTGGACAGGTTTGTTCGCGAAAAACTTCAATTTGTCTCGCGCGGGTCTGTATCGTGCCAAGATTTGCTTGCATCGGATAATATATGCTGCGTACAATAAACTTGTACACGGTGAGAATTATATTTCATGAAACAATCATTAGAAAACAATTAAGACAAGTACTTGATTTTTTTCGTACAGGAATTATCCAATTAAGGAGTAATTGCGCAATTGGAATAATTAATGACATTTCTATTCGTTCGTTGCCTTCTATCCGACCGCAGGTAAAGCGGTTCTTTCATCAGACGTGCAATTTCGCGCAAGAACGACTTCATGAATGAACCGCGACGCGATTCCGGCAAGACCTTCTCTTTCTTTCCCGTTTTGCCGCCATTTATCTTGCCACACAGACTGGACAATGCAGACGGAATACTCGATTGTTTCTAAGCAAGCTGTGACCGTTTTCAGTGTCAGAGATAAAAAGGAACGCCACCGGAAATCATTATTCTCAATGGAAATAATCCAAAGAAAACTGAAATGTTATACTTATGTATAAAACAAATAACAACTATCCGTGATAATCCGCGCACATTTAAGTATTAAAATAAATACGATTTTTTGAAATACTTTTACTAAAAATGAAAAAATTATCTCTGTTAAATTAGTTGAAGAAATCATGATTAAAGAAACATTTGGACTGTCTCGAATTATATGTTCTGTATATGAAATCTATTCTGTATATATACCCCTGATAAAAAAACAAAAAATAAATTTCTAATTTTAATATCGAAATTTTATCATGGCCACAATTTAGCAACTCAATGTTAAGAAATGAAACGTAGACACGAAATGTCCGAAATATCTTAAAGTCCATTAGACGTAGACACGAAATTCGAATCGAATGAAAACATCCAATATTAATCTAATATCGTGAATCTGATCGGTCTCAATATGTTTTATTGTATTGTGCTTGGCAGCAGCTGGGTCCAAATTTCTTATCCACTGTCGACAGCTGCAACGAAAACGAAAAATCTGATTTGGAATGGACGAGAAAAGAACC